CAGGTCTGAAGCATCAGTTGGTTAATTTTTAACTTCTGATGTTTGCAAAGTAGATGGCTGTCCTTTTCTCCTTCCTCCTCTGCCCTGCAGAATTGGCCTGTGGCCTGGCTTGCTAGCTCCAGTGTTGGTTCAAGGGACAAGGTATTTTTTGTGATTGATTGAGCCTGATAGCAGTGTTGGGGGAGAGAAGAGAGAGGCCTGGATTGTTCAGATGTTGTTGTCTGTGTTCTGTGTGGCTCTGAGAGAAACAGGTCTTTTCATTTTTACAGTTGCAAAGAAAAGTGTATTTGCACAATGGTGTGGGTTTTACGTAAGGTTCTTAATGATGAGCAGGTTTGGATTTTATTGCCTAGCTTCATGTGATGCCATTTCTGCCAGTAAAACAAGACACTGAACCTTTTTGTTGAAAATCTTGTTCCTTGGAGTCACAGAGTTTGCAAGTTGCATGTCACTGAGTGTTGCTTATATGTTACCAGTACGCTATGTGAGAGGCTGACTTCTCCTATTTCAAAGCACCAGAAAACAGCTGATGATAGAATCAGCTATGGAAAACGTTCCACTTAACACTGCTTGCATAATCCCACTCTTTTGTCAGATGAATGACCACTAACTCTGTGATGTAGAGAGATCTGACACAGACTGTTGGATCTGATGGGCTGGGAATATCCAGAAAATACTCCTCAATTTCAATAGTTGTTAGTTCATAGAGAAACTGAGGAGGGAAAAACCCTCAGAAATTGACAGAGGAAATTCAGGCTGGCTCATTTCTCAGCTAAATAAGGATGTACAAACCAGTTTTATTGACTACTCTGTTCAATAGTCTCTGCAGTGATTTAGAGTAATACACTGTATTTTCTACCCTGAAACCCAAGATACAGTGAAAAAAGGAATGGCAGTAGGAAAAAGCTGTTGTTACAGCTGTTGGAGCTGTGCTGTTACCCTTAGCACTAGCAGCATTTTGCTTTTGGGATCCATAGGACTGTTTTCTGTGTACTATATCCTTACTCTTGTGCTTCCCCTCTTGATCATTTTGAAGGACCAACTATTAATGCTGGGTGGAATAGTTTGCTAAAAGGAGTTTACTGGCATCTCTACTGGTTATTCTTCAAACCATTGCCCATCCTCCTTTTCCCCAGCTTTATGAGTTTATTAACCCTGGGAATAAATCAACCTGCTCATGTAGCACATACCATAATTACAATTAATATTTGTTAACTAGAGTGTACTAGGTTCCAAAAAGATGGTAGCTAGAGTTGGGTGAACAATTGGACAAATCCAGGAAGAGAGATAGGTATTTTTAAATGTAAAAACATTTGCGAGAACATCATTTTATAACACCAGGATATATCTGTGGCTTATACAAGCAGCCAATACTTTTAAAGCATCTTTTTTTCCCTTCAGTCCATCAGTATTATCCAGGATGTTAACTTACAAAAAGTGTATTTTTAAGTAGTAATCTGGCTCTACCAATAGCCATTTCCAGCAAAAGGTACTCTCTTAATAGATGTGTAATGCATTACTATGTTGATGTAAATGGCAGAGCTTGCAGTGCTTAATGAACTTTGATCTCCCCACCTATGGGTTTAGCCTCCATCTTTCTCTCATCTGTAATTTATTCACTTCTGAAATCCATTAGTTTAAAGTGTCATGTCCTCAGGTGCAAATACTACTGAATATTGTCAGGGAATTCTAACTCTGGCAAAGAAGTAATGTAATGAATAAAGGCTAGTGTTGTTGGTATGATTTTTCTCTTAAAGGGGAACCTTGTTAAGCAGCTTTTCTTATGATGGTTTATTAATTGGAATGAAACCATACTAGAAAGCAGAGGAGATGCATACCATGTTCATATGTGCAATCATGCAAAGTCCTTCAAGATGTCAGAAAGGAGCTGAACTTATTGTTTTGACTGTTGTTGTTGTACCTGACTTGAATGAATAAGAGGAACAGAGCACCTGTTTAATAATTATCTGGTCCCTGGGGATGAAAGTTTGCCTCATCGAGGAAGTTGTTACTTCCTTACTGTATTTGCCTGGCCCACAGGGAGGTAGTGCAGAGCTCTTAAAATCTTTCTGGTGTTGAGGTAATAACTTAAAATTCCCCAGGCTTGGAGATGTGGAGAGGTGTTTTTCGTGCACTTCTGTCACGTGCGTTTCCTCTTATCCTACCTAGATTACAAGGCCTAGTAAATTCTGCCAGATTTTAATCTGAAGCGATATTTAATGTACATTTTATTGGTCGTGTCCATTGTTCTGTATTAGCATAAACTGTACTCTGAGCCCAGAGATGGACTTGGAAGTTGTTGTCACTATGAACAAAGTGATCACTTGAATTACGATAAGTGCAATTACCATTTTTTCTGTTTGTTTTCTGTTACTCTTTACAAAAGAGGAAGAATACTGATACATTGTGATAGTCGTTTGTTTTAAGCCACAGAAGGCAATCACAGAAAGAAATAGGCCTGGCGAATGGGAATTGAACTGTGGAAATGTCTGATTGTTTGCCACAAGTATTGCAAATGTAAAAGTCAAGCATGTACTGTATTAGCTTCTTTTCCCCCCTGATCCAGCTGGTGTTTATTTTTGATGTAGTTTTGGTCACTTTGCTTGGAAAAATGATTTGAGGGATTCCAAATGCTGGCTAGCCCAAAAAGAAAAAAAATCACGTGCTTATTATAGACTGGCATTATTTTAAGTGGGACTTAACATTGCTGTGTTATTTTGAGCTGCCCTGATTACTGAGTAGTGGACAGGGTATTTCAAAGACGTTTTAATACCCTGGGGTGGTTTCGGGGACGCGGCAGGAGGGCCGCAGCGGCCGGCAGGTGTTTCAGGCTGCCCGGAGCCCCGGTCACAGGTGCTCTCTCAGCCGCCTGGAGCTGAGGGGAGCAGGGCAAAGCCCAGCGAACAGCAGCGCTCCCGCTCAGGCTCTGCTCGCACTGCTTTACTTCCCTGCAGAGTGCCCGCTTTTAAGGCCGAGCCGGAGGCGGCGGGAGGCGGAGGCAGCCGCGCTCTGATCTCTGGCCAGCGGAACCTGGCCCGTCAG